TCCCCTCCTCCTCCTCCTTTTCTTCTCCTCTTCCTCCTCCACCTCCCCTTCCTCCTCCTCTCCTTCCTCCTCCTCCTTCTTCTTCTGTTGGTCCTGGGGCTTGAACTCAGGGCCTGGGCACTGTCCCTGAGATTTTGTGCTCAAGGCCAGCACTCTACCACTGAGCCACAGCTCCACTTTCAGCTTCTTTCTGGTGTATGTGGTACAAAGGAACCAAACCCAGGGCTCCATGCTGCAAGGCAGCCCTCTACCACTGAGCATTCCCAACCACCATCTTTATTAGTATTTTTAAAAATTCTAGTAAAGGTGATTACAGAGGGGAGCCAGGTAATGAGTACATTTTTTTAAACTTTCCTTTTTGGACAGTCACCCCTCCCTCATTCTCTCCCCATTTTCCCCTCCCCAGCCCTCCCCTCCTGGTTGTACAGCGCCTTTCCCACAGTGTCTAGTGGGTGTCACTGCTGAACGGGGTCACCTTTGTCCCATCATTTCTGTGCTTCCCCTTTCTTTCCCCAGATTAGATAAACTTATTTACAAGACGAAGAGAACAGAGATAAAAAACAGCAACAAAAGGGAATAAACTAGAGAGGAAAAGAAAGAAAGGAAGAAAGAAAGAAAGAGAAAGGAAGGAAGGAAGGAAAGAGCCACAAACAGTACAATAATAATAAAAACCCCTCTTGTTTCCGCTTCTCTGAGTTCCTGTTGATCAGCATCATTTGACATGATCATCATTTGACATGATCATGTGTATATTTGACTGAAACATCTCTCAGTCTGTGGATGGCCAGATTGGAATTAGCAGATCAGTGCAGATGCCTGCGAATTTCCTTCCTTTTCTCTTCCCTGGTGATCCACTTGTGTCCTTCCTATAGATTCAATGTCGGAATTGACCTTGTCTTAGTAAGGACTATTCTTGGATCAGGCATCTGTGAAGCTACACTGGCATTGTGCCTCCAAACAAGCACAACTCTATCCTTTCTCTAGCTTGGGAATTCGAGGGGAATAGCCATTCTTCAATAGAATGAACAATAATAGTCCTTGACCATGGGATGTCAATCAATCAGGAGTTTTCATACATTGTGATTCCCTGCACAGTAAGTGATGTAAGTTGCTAGTTATGGCAGTAGACCTTGCTGTAGGCCCTGGAGTCTTGGGTAAGTAACTTTTGATCTGCAAAGTAGAAATAAGGATCTAGAATGGATTCTATTGTCTTCTCACACAAGGATTGAGAAGACCGTCTCAAAGTTGTGTCAAAGTGGTTTTACTCCCTCCTGCTCCTAAGCCTGCACCTTTTGGCTATCACTAGCCAGACTGTTTTCTGGATCTATGAGTAATAGAAAATTTGGCAAGACCGTAGCCTTAATTATGCTTTTAATTGGCGGTTGGCAAACTACAGCCTGCCAACTGATTTTTTAAATAGGGCTTTTCTGGAACACACTCCTGCTCCTTTCTTGACCCTTTCTCTTTGATTGCCTTTGAGCAACAAAGACACATTTCAATAGTTACAGAAGTGTAGGTCCTGCAAAGTCTAGAACATTCACTATCTGTACCTTGTGGAAAAAGCCTAAGTATCATTACTTAAAGTAGCAAAGGCATTGCTACGAGGGTGTCACTAACAGACTGGTGGTAGTGATGATGATGATGTTTTTGCTTTGGGTCTTTTTTTTTCTTTCAGGGAGGGTGAGAAAGGGTGCAGAAAGGAAGGGAGAAAAGGGGGAACAAATGAAATCACTCTGTTCAGTGTACACTATGCGGAATACGACTTATGCAACTTGTGGACAGGGATAGGAGGGGAAAACTTGGAGAAAGTAAAGAAAGGGGTGACATTGTCCAAAAAACTGTAGCCATTATCTGAATTATGAAATGATAGCTCCTCTTTACAACACCTTAGTAAGAACAATAAATTATTTTTTAAATAATAAAATAATATACTTAAAAAAGACCAGGTCCAAACATTTATAGATCATGATCCCCCCTGAGTAATAATAATTAGCCAGGTTTGATTGTCTGCTCATCACTCTTTGATATTTCTAGAGCACGTTGATTTTACTTTCCCTGTTGCATTATTACAAAGAGAAAACCTTGGTTTAAACCTTTCTTTTAGTTTCTTTTTTTGTGCTTCTGTTTATTTTAAAATCAAAAGCTCTTGGATTCACATAAATTCCCAACTCTGGAAGATGCTGTAGTGACTAATAATAATCTCATCTTTTTTTCCCTCTTACTTTGCAACTTAATTCAGCTGCTAGAATTTTTGTTGTGTATTTCTTTTTCAGAGAATTTGTGTTTCTCTTTTCTTGATAGGAAGACAAAGGCCAAAACACTTTCAGTTACATAGAAATCTCTTTTCTCAGACCTGTATGTTAAAATAGATTTATTTCTGGCTACCTGATCAATGCTTCTTTACCCTGAAACTCTCCTTAGGTCATGTGGAGATACTCTTGGCCTCCCAGATCTTTGTAGATTTCCTTGTCTTTTATGAAGAAAGTTCCCCTACCATAGAAGACCCTGGAGCTTCCTATTTAGAGAATGTCAAGTACACTTGTATAGACTAGAACATGAGGTTCCTTTTCCTAAGACAAATTCCATGATGGTGATTTGTCAGTATCCAGGTTCCACGCCACGTGTATCGATGATCACCAGGCAGAATGGCTATGTAAATATTTGGAAAGGAAGTGTAAGATTTTGCCAGATCAAAGACCTGATGTCTGTCGTCATTTATTTCACAAACACCAACTACCCACAGGCTCAGCCCCCTCAAGGTGGTCCTCACCCAGGGGAGGAGGGAGACTCCACAGAACGACCCAGCCATGCGCTTTGGTTCACATTCGTGGAATCATAGTGCTGTTGCACACATGCCGTCCCCAAGGCTAACGGGAGGAACAGAGTGGAAACCACAGCTGGGGAGCAGCTCCTCACGGTTCTGTTGCGCTTCCCCACAGGGCTTCTTCATCCTGCTGTTCGGAACCATTATGGACCACAAGGTAATACGCATCATGGCAGCCATTTCCCACGTGGCTGAGGGAAGCAGGGCTGAGGTCGTTTTGGCTGAGGTGTGATGGCGGGGAGCCCGGTTGTCAGGAGGACGTGGATATCAGCCTTCAGGCTGGCAGAGAGAACGAGATTCTCTTGTGTGCCTCATGGAGTTGGAAGGAGGCTGTGTACGAGTGCTGTCAATGAATGAATAAAATCAGGATGACATGGCAGATGGGTTCTAAAGGGAGCAACAACTACAGGTCAGCGTTCATCCCAAGGGTTTATTCACAAAACACTGCTCATCAAAAAATACTCTATACTCAACACGGATAAGTTTTTTTTATATTTAATTTAATTTTAATTTTTTAAATTTTTTATTTTTTTAATTTAATTTTTAATTTAAATTTAATGTTGGTGTGGCTGAGGTTGCTGGTCTCAGAGTTTCAGGAGTCGAGTCTGAAGCGTGGGAATCCTGTTGTTTCTCTGACATCTTTGAAGCATTCTCACTGTCCTTGCTTTCCAGATAAGAGATGCTTTGAGGATGAGGATGGCTTCACTGAGGAGGAGATCCAGGGCAGCGGAGGTGAGTCCCTCCCCCTCCCCCTTCCCCCCACCATCCACTACCCACACTGGAGTTCTAGTTATGCAGACTTAACCAAAGCAGTTCAGGACCCAGGATTTGTGAGCAAATAGAACCAACAAGACATTCCAGGCTCACTTAGTTCTTTGTTTTATCAAGTTGAAGTATTCTGCTTATGCAGAAGATGAGAACATATTCTTGTTTTGAAAAAAATTATTTGTTTTTATTGTAAAGGTGGTGAACAGAGGGGTTGCAGTCACATAGGTTAGGTTACGAGCACACGCCTTTTTGAAGGGTGTCACCTCTTCACTAATTTTCTCCCAGCTTTTTCCCTCCCAACTCTTCTCCCCCACAAGTTGTATAGTTCAAGCCGTATTTGGTCACCCTTTGTTCCACCATTTCTGTGATCTCCTTACCCTCTCCCAAACAGATAAACTTACATGCATGACAAAAGGTACAGAAATAAAAAAACAGCAACCAAGGAGAAAAGAACAAGCAAAAAGTAAAATAACGAAAATACCTCATTTCCATTTCGTGGAGTTCATTTCAATAAACATCCTTTTATATGATCATATGCACATAGCTCTTGAGCCTTTGTGATCCTCTCCTAAGAATATCTTGCTTTGGCTTCACTGTGTGAATGTTTGGAGTCCTGTTTATCATGTCCAAGTGTATTTTTTGGTCTTATAGGCACATTCTAATTACCACAAATGAAGGAAAACATGCATCCAATGTTTCTTTGGGTTTGGCTTACTTCACTTACTATGATTATTTCCAAGTCCTTCCATTACCTTACAAACGAGACAGTGTCATTCTTTCTGATGGAGGCATAGAATTCCATTGCATATATATACCACATCTTTTTGATCCATTCACCCACTGAAGTGGCATCTAAATTGATTCCATATTTTGGCTATTGTAAACAATGCTTCAATGAACATGGTAATACTGTTAGCTTTATTGTGGCATTGTTTGTGTTCTATTGGATGAATGCTCAGGAGTGGAATTGCTGGGCCATAGGGGAGCTTTGTGTTTAGTTGTTATTGATTTTTTGTCGGTCGTGGGGCTTGGATGCTGGGCTTGGGCACTGTCCCTGTGCTCTTCAGCTCAAGGCGAGTGCTCTACCACTTGAGCCACAGCACCACTTCTGGTTTTCTAGTGGTTTATTGGAGATAAGAATCTCACAGAGTTTCTTGTCCGGGCTGGCTTTGAACCATGATCCTCAGATCTCAGCCTCCTGAGTAGTTAAGATTACAGCTGTGAGCCACCAGTGCCCAGTGTGTTTAGTTTTTTGAGGAACCTCTATACTGCTTTCCAGAGTGGTTGAACAAGTTTACATTCCCAACAACAGTGTAGTAGCATTCCCTTTAGCCATATCCCAACTAGTGTCTGTTATTGTTAGTTTTCTCTATAATGGCCTCTCTAACTGGAGTGAAGTGAAACCTCAGTGTTGTTTTGATTTTCATTTCTTTTATGTCCAGAGATGTTGAACATTTCTTCATGTGTCTATTGGCCATTCTTACTTCTGCTCCTGAGAAGTCTCTCTTTAAGTCTAGCCCATTTATTAACTGAGTCGTTGTTTCTTTGAGGGCTTGTTTATGGGGGGTTTAATTTTTTTGATCTCTATATTTTACATATGAGGCCCTTGTCCGATACATAGCTAGTAAAGATTTTCTCTCATTTGGTGGGCTTTCTCCAAATAGGAGTAAAGCTACCCCTCTTTGCAGATGATGTGATCCCGTATTTGAAGAACCCTATAGATTCCTCTCCCAAGTTATTTGGGCTGATTTGAAACTTTGGCAAAGTAGCAGGGTATAAAATTAACGCACAAGAAGCAGTAGCTTTTCTGTATGGCAACAATGAGAAGATGGAGATTGAAGTCAGGAAAGTAACTCCATTTGTAATAGCCTCAAAAAAGTACAATACCTAGAAATTAACTTCACCAAAGATGTGAAGGACCTCTATTATGAAAATTTTAAAAATCTGAAAGAAGAAATTAAAACAGATTTACGAAAATGGGAAAAAAAGACTCCATGCTCCTGTCTTGGAAGGATTAACATTGTGAAAATTGAATAGAGCTATCTACAGATTCAGTGCAATACTCATCAACAAAATCCCAACAACATTCTGCAATGATATAGAGAAAGCAAGCTAAAAATTCATTTGGAATAATAGAAGACCCCGAAGAGCAAAAACAATCCTTAGCAGGAAGTATAATGTTGGAGGAATATCAATACTAACTTTCAAACTATTACAAAGCCATAGTAATAAAAAATAAGCATGATACTGGCACAAGAATAGGTCTGAGGACCAATGGAATCAAACAGAAGACTCAGAAATTAACCTACAGACCCATAGCCACCTAACATTTGATAAGGGAGCCAAGAGCACAGGTTGGAAGAAAGAGTCCCTTCAACAAATAGTACTGGCAGAATTGGCTAGACACATGCTGAAAACTGAAGCTCGATCCTTATATGTCACCCTGCACCAGAATCAATTCCAAATGGTTCGAAGACCTCAGTGTAAGGTCTGATACCATGAGCATATTACAGGAAGGCATAGGAGAAACACTAGGGTTCTGGGGCTCAGGTCTAAACTTCCTAAGTAAAGATCCAGAATCACAACACATCAAAGAAAGACTAGATAAATGGGATTGCATCAAATGGAAGAGTTTCTGCACGGCAAAGGATATAGCTAGCAAGTTAAACAGAATACACTCTTTGAGAGAACTTTGCGTGTAGACTAACTTTCCACTTGACTTTGGGTCCATTGAGATGATAACCAATGGGATTTATAAGATTTGCAAATCACAGATTTCGAAGAAATGAGAGCCACCACATGAGAGTTGAGTCAGAAACTAGATTCTAGTCCAACCCACTCATTTTACAGGAAAGGAATTTTAGGCCCAGAATAATGAGTGGGATAATGGGGAAACATTTGTCCTCAAATCCCTTTCCAGTCTATGTGTTGAAGGCTCCTTCTAGCACACGACATTCCTTTGCATGTCGTACCCATGAATTGATAGATCTTACAAAACACTTTTGGCCTGGCCATCTGTCTTTTAAGATAAAAGCTATATTTGCCAACATTTCTTTATTCCTTGGAAAATATTTGTTCAACTGATAGATTAAGATTAGGATCTACTGCTTGGAAACAAACTATCTGACTACTGTGAGAACCACCATTTAGAGTAGGGTAGGACTTGCTTTTAGTACCACAGTTCATCAGTTTTAAGACAGGCATCATGTTCTTCACCTTTTGACATTTCTGAAGTTGGAATCTATCTTGCAATCAATTAAATATATCCTTTGTTTCCTTTTCGTTTTGTAAAGCATGGAAACAATGATGTTGCTCCCAGTATGACATTGAGTGATCTATAACCATTTAATCGTCTGTGGCCATGCCAGTTTGGGAATTTCTTGCTTTATGTCTCCGTTTTCTTGTGTTTATCCTCAGGCAGGCTGTATATAAGTATCAGTGAACATCTCCCCTTTGTCCCAGTGTCATTACTCACTGTCAACTCTGCCGTTTTTCCCACCCCCATGTAGAATGCATCGTTGAGTCCAACCAATGGATCAAGATTAATGAATCACTGAGGGTGAAATGTGAGTATTAAGGGCCAGGAGAATCTTCTTTTGCGAGTTGTCTTGCGTCACTTACTGTTCCTGTGAGCCAGGGGCACATACCTTTCCAAAAATGAACACATCTTCATTGCTTTTCATGCTGAAATGGGAATGTGCAGTTTTCTGTAAGCCTGCATTATTTGAATTCACATGAGTAGATTAAGTGTGCATCTATGCTGTGTCCTCCATGAGAGGACACTGCTATGGAGAAGGCAGCTGATCTGACCACCCTGCTCACACACCTGAGTTCCATCTTGTGGCTGAATGGTGACACTTACCAAGACCTCATTGTTGACAAGGAGGACACGATGACTGAAATCACAGAGCAACGAGGCCTGCCTCTCCCTAATGAGGCTGGGCCCAGCATCAGTCCGAAGGAAGTTGTGGGCAGGGTTGTGGCCAATTAGCTGCCTTCTCTAGGGTAACCCGTGATGCTTACAGCCCTGCTGGCGAAACCAGGGGAAACATTGCCAGCCAACTACCGAGGGAGAACAACTAAGCTCAGAAAGGGCAGCCAGAAGTGTGAGTGCTTGCAGGTAACCCGGTCAGGCAGGATCAGCCTTTGTAATGGTTCTGCTCTGGTGAGGGCTTCTAGTTGCTCTACACGGGTACAAATAAGTGCAGGTTAATTCTCCCTCACCATTTGGCAGTAGCTACCTACTCCTTTGCATTCCTTCCTTCTCTGAGTCATGGACCAACCATTTCTTGAACTATGAGTTCATATAGGGGCTGAACCATCTTATAGAGCCAAAGACATCAGGTTAGAAGAGCTATTAAGGTTCCTCCCATGTTGCAGATCCTACCAACCTGACGTGCTGGTGTGGGGCACTGACACAGGGCCAAGGCAGAGGGAGATGTGTAGGAGGGTCTCTCATCTGCGTGGAGTATGTAGGGCATAGACTGCACCCGCGAGGGCATCGCGGAAAGCCGGACATGTGCGTGATCAGCTGCACACGGGCAGCTGCACAGGGAGCCCTTCTCTGACTTCTGCTTCTGAACCGATGAAGTAGGGGAGGAAAAGCAGCGCACATGCTCCAGCGCGGCCCCTCCCTCTGGACTTTTCTCAGTGATGGAGGCCTGTGACTTTATTCACACTCCCCTCCATGTAATTCTCCTCTCGCCTCTCCTCTCTCCTCTCTGTTCCTCTGTCCTCTCTGTCCCTCTGTCCTCTCTGTCCCTCTCTCCTCTTTCCCTCTCTCTCCTCTCTCCCTCTCCATCTTTCTCCTCTTCTCCCTCTTCCTTTCCCTCTCTCTCTCCCCCCCTCTCAATATCCCCCTCAGATTTCGTATCCCTTGAAACACAACTATATTGAAATTAGGCCAGTTTACACTCCTATAAATGTTTTCTGACAAGGGTAAGGAAATATTCGGTGTTGCCAGAGACATGGATAAACTTAAAGAAGAAAACTTAACCACAAGCTGAGGTAGGCCGCGTTTTAGGGCCATTGCTCCGATTAGCCAAGTTGTGAAGGCAAAAGGAAAACGTCCTTGATGGACATGAATAGAAAACGTCCTTGATGGACATGAATAGTGCTTCCGTGGTGGACCCATGCGTGGTAAGAGAGCAAAACCAGCCCTTTTGCTCATCTGGGACAAGTCGTAGTGGTCCAGACTGACCAAAACACCAACCATACGCCTTCATCCCAAAGTCTGTTATGACTGGAACATCTCCCCAAATCACTGGACACTAATGTGCAGCACCAGCTGCGATTCTACCACTCCTCTGTAGCTGCCAGTGATCAGTTATAACGGCCACACGGATCTTCCCTGATCTTATCAGTTGCCGGAATTTAGGAGTAATACATAGTAAAACTGTCACGGCCATGTCCTATCATGGAAGTTCCTATCATGTTCCTGTTAGGAGGAATACTTTGAGAGTTGAGTACCCACATGCTACCGCTTGCATTTGTGGCCAAGAAGGAAAGAGATTAGGCTTTTAACTCCACTCAATCCAAGGCCCCTCTGACCCCGTCTGCCTCACGTGTGATCTCTTTTTCTTTTTATCCATGGAGGTCTTCATCTCTTACACCACTTTTGCTGCTGATAGCAATTATATGGCTGATGGTTGTCAATGACAGGGACCGCATGAGAGCGGCTCATCCAGGAGCAGGTGTCCTATTTTAAGAACAAATTAAAAGTCGCCTCAGTTGGTGGTGTCTTGGAAGAGAGAAGATATTAACAGGCATCAACCCCGCTTATTTCGCAGGTCAAGCTGGTCCCTGGTGTCCATGACGACACTTGTGGAGAAGCTGATTCCGCTGAGATGTGTGGAAACACGATCGATAATTTTCAGTAACCGAGGAAGATTACCAGAAGTCAACGAAGCCTTTAAATGAGATGGTGCAGCGTGGAGCCCAGGACTGTCAACACTTGGCAGGCGATGGAGAAAGTCTAATTGTGGCTGCGGATGAGCTGTGTGATGCGGCTGTCAAACTGCCTCTCGCCCAGTTCCATTTTAGGAACCGCCTAACTTGCCTGGCCAGAGAGTCTAATTTAAACTCCAATTTACCTATGTGAGTCGAAATGACTCAGAATGTGTAAATAAAATAGCCCTGAGAAGTCAGAGGTTATTTCATGCATCCCCATGGCTGGTTTTCTCAGAACTGAGTCCTTGTGTGGAAGGGAAATTAAGAGCTCAGGACTGATTTGCTTGGGGTGGTGAGCAAAAGCAGCGTCTCAAGGCAGTTAGAACATTTCCCTTGACAATGGACAGAAAAGACTATTTAAAAATGAAAGGTAAAACTTTTTTTTTGGTCAGTTGTGGGGCCTGAACTCTGGGCCCGGGCGCTGTCCCTCAGCTCTTCAGCTCAAAGCTAGAGCTCTACCACTTGAGCGATAGCACCACTTGCAGTTTTCTGGTGGTTTATTGGAGAGAAGAGTCTCATGGACTTTTCTGCCTGGGTTGGCTCTGAACTGCAATCCTCAGATCTCAGCCACCTCAGTAGCTAGGATTACAGGTGTGAGCCACCGGCACCCAGCATTTTTTTTTTGTGTGTGTCAGTTATGGGGCCTGAAATCTGAGCCTGGGCACTGTCCCTCAGCTCTTCAGCTCAAGGCTAGAACTTTACCACTTGAGTCATAGTGCCACTTCCAGCCTTTTCTGCTTATGTGGTGCTGAGGAATCGAACTCAGGGCCTCATACATGTAAGGCAAACACTCTACTACTGAGCCACCCTGCCATCCCCGAAAGGTAAAACTTTTAGCCACGCAGAAATAGAGTATGGTTCCCACCCTCCCTCTCTCCCTCCCTCTCTTCCTCCTTCCCTTCCTCCCTCCCTTCCTTCCTTCCTTCCTTCCCTCTTTCCTTCCTTCCTCCCTTCCTTCTTCCTTCCTTCCTTCCTTCCTTCCTTCCTTCCTTCCTTCCCTCTTTCCTTCCTTCCTCCCTTCCTTCCTTCCCTCTTTCCTTCCTTCCTCCCTTCCTTCCATCTGCCTACTTGTGCTTTCCCAAGTCACTCAAGGCAGTGACCACTGTGCTCAGCCACTGATTGAAAGGGAGTCTTGCAAACTGTTAGAGTTGAGTTGGCCTTGTACTGCAATCGCCTGATCTCTCTCTTCCAAGTACCAAAGATGGAAGGCTTGAGCCATTGTGCCTGAAAGTACCGATTCTTTAAAAGGAAGAAATACTGGTTCCATTCCTCGTGGGTTTAGTATCCTGGATAATCCAGGATACTCTTTGCATCTCAAGGTTCTGAATGTTAATCTATTATGCGTTTGCATAATCAGGAATTCCTGATAGATTAGCTGAGATATTCTTGGGAAAGTAGCTTAAAGGAAGAAAGGGTTCCGTTGATGCATGCTTTTGGAGGTTTTGGTCCACAGCTGGCTCCATTGTTTCTGGGCCCTGGTGAGGCAGAGGGTCATGGTGAGGGTGTGGTGGAAGGACATAGGGACATAGCGGAAGGACATGGCAGAGACAAATTGCTTACCTCGTGGTGTCTAGGAAGCAGATAGGGACCAGAGGGCTGGGAAAAATGGCAGACCCTCAAAAGGCATGTCCCCAGTGACCTGCATCCTGTGACTAAGCCTTATATCCTAATTTCCATGACCTTCCAATAATGACATAAAATTAGGAATTTATCTGTAGATCAACCCACTGATTAGATCAGAGTTTGCATGATCCAGTCACAAGCCCAGAGCTCTGACTCCGAGCATGACATTGGGCTGATCAAGATGTGTGTATTGAACACCTAGGGGGAAACTGAGGCTGGGTGAGGTCATTAAACTTCAATGTTCAATGGCTGGAAGGTGACAAGTCTGCCTTCCAAGGACATTGCCTTCCTTTGGACATTTTATTTTGGTTATTATCTTTTAAAAACAAATATGAATACCTCCCTCTCTTGAGCTTCAGCCTGATGTCCACCTTGGCATTTGTCCAAGTCCTCGGCCCGAGGAGCAGGAGAAGAACTTGAAGATAAGGAAAGCAAGCCAAGGGGCTCACATTCAGGAGGTCGGTGTAAGACAGTACTGTCCCTGGCGTTCAACTTGCATTGGTGAGGAGAAAGTACATGAACGAATCCAGGAGAAGATAGCGTCCCTCTGGGGCTGGACAGTCATGTTCATTCATTTGTACTATAGATGGTAGTTACAGATGGTAGTTACAGCCACGTCTGCACGAAGGCCGAGAAAGAAGAGCCAACGGGTATTCTGCTACATAAACCCGCAAATCTAATACCAGCTTCACCCATTCACTTCAATGTTTCTCTTCTCTCCTTTGAAAATGTTCATGCTATTTCACAACATTACTTGACACAGCTAGACGACAGGGTCAAGAAAAATTTTGATAAAACAGCCAGCCTAGATGGAAGAAAATTTAGAAAATAGAGGCCCATGTGTTCTCCACTTTCTCACAGTTATGGGGATGGGGTCAAAACCACCTTGGAAAGGAAGAGGTTCTCCGTGGATTCTCCTACAAAGGCTTCCTTTCAGTGCTTTTATTGATGCTCTGAACAAGGCAATTCACTTCAGTCTGCCTTGTCAGTCAGTTCGCCTTTCTGCTTTACATAAGTATACTGTCTGGAAGGCCTCTTGATGATCTTTTTCTTCCCCTTAACTTATAATATTGAACTTTCTGATGGCTGCAAGTGATTTTTTTTTAGCATCCAATTAAAAGCTGAGTCGACTGGGGACTGTTTGAGCACAACTGTCTAAACCCATCAACAGGTGGATGATATTCACACATTTTAAGTCTCTGTGAAACAAGAACGGAACGTGCAAATATAAAGCAAATTGTCAGTTTCTATAATGGCTTATTTCCCATCCTATTTCTTCATGTATTGAACCTAAGTAACCTGTGTGTGTCTTTGCTTTTGTTCCTTTTCTAAAATTAGCTTCTATTTTATTTTATAAAAGAAAAATAAATGTAAGGCTAAGAAAAAGAAGGAAACAAAGTCTCACCTACCCATTGCTTA